ATTTATTTTGTAAAGAATTAATTTCTTATATGATAGGTGAAATATGTACATTATATAATAATTAATATTGAAATCAGACCATAGAAAATTTTAATACTAAAATTCTTCAGAAAAAATGTTTTGCTATCATCTGATTAAATATTATAACATACGAGTATATTGTATTTGTAGGTTAAAGCAGCATGCCTCCAGATTCATGCTAATTTTCATGAAAATTTTGTAAATGTATTCTAAAGTAAAATATTGTGAAGTGAACAAAGAAAATAATTTACACATTGCAAACAGCACTTACAACAATTGACGTAAATTACCAAAAAGAGGTCATAATATACATAAATACCTCTTACTGCGTAAGTAACGCAGTATAATTATAGTGATTGATACTGCAAACTCAGTCATTAATCCCACATTAATTAAATATAGAATATTTTTACTTTTCTTTATACATTTTTCTAAAGATTAAATTCCTTGAAATATTCTGGCTAATCTGGAGGCGTGCAGCTTTAAGATAGTCATATTGTTTGTTCATTCAACATGACTAAAATAGACCATGGTCATAAAGCATGTAAGCAATCATAAGAATATTCACAATTCAGACCACCTTGCAATTAAGACCACTTTGGTCCAGTCCCGATGGTGGTCTTATAGTACATCCCAGTTTTAATGAAGTTTGTAATATTTTTTTTATCATATTGTATTTTTGTGTTGTATTTATTAATACCAGAAACTGTTATATTATAAATTTTAAAAGTTGACTAATTTATATACTACTTGATTTTGAAAAAAAATACTGACAATGCAGCATTTGTTAGTAAATGTCATATCTATTTATAAAAAACAAAAAAAACAGAACCCTTGAAAGATTTTAAAAGCAGCTTAAAATAATTGTATTGTATCTAAATGCTTAAAAAGTGAGATTTACTTACTTGTAACCGCTGAGTCGCCAAAATTTCCACCCTCACTAGTTTCGGTTGTCGTGGTAGCTGCTGTGGCACCATTACGTGCTGTAAAATAATTTTATTCTCCTATATCCCGAATAATTTCTTTTAATTAACCAGAATTTCACAAGGAAAAATACGCACTTTGGTAGATCTCGGATTTATGGTGGAATTGATTTTTGAGAAGATTATACAGTACGGTTTTATGAATACATGTACTAAAGTAACCACAAATCACAATTGTATGTAATTGAACCATGAAACCATTTATAAAAAGGCATCGAAACTTAAGAAAAACTACATCTTAAGCAAAATATATATATATGTTTTATAATAGTTTTACTAAACGATGTATTAATTTTATATTCATCATGGCAAGCAATGAAGAACCGATAATGGAACATCAACTAACCTGCAATTAAGCACAGAAACAGCAGACTGAAAACTGCACTGGCCTTCATTTTCTACAATTATATTTAATTTCTTGATTACTGAAATGAAAAACATGTTGCTTGAAATATTACATTACGATATTAAGAAATAAATTTGTATAATAGTTTAAGTAATTTGTCATGTCAGATATGAACAATATGTTTCAGGTAAACTTTCTAGAAACATTTGCGATTGTATTTTATTTACATTAAACAATGAAAAGAAATACTGCATGTATTATATGAGAATAACTTACCTCTCAGACTGGTGTATCACAGACTAAAGCGGGAAGAATGAGCCGTTTTCCAGGAAAACTGCCAAAATGACATCGATTATGACGTTGGAAATTTCCCGATAAATATGACATCATACAAGTTTGAAAGCACATGTGAGTTCAGTGACCTTTCAATCTACTTATTTGTCATTTTGTATTATTTTGTATGTATGTACTGTTTTATGTTGTCACATGCCCATATGGGCCCTGACTTATTCAAATAAACCTTGAAACCTACACGCAGTGATCTCCCCTTAATGCTCCGCATAGATCTGCCATTAAGATCCGATAGAATCTAGATCTATATCAGAATTTCTAATATACTATATTTTTTTCAAAAATTGTTTTATCTACTGCTTTTATCTATCAGATAAGTTTTTTTCTCATTTATTTAACAATGTTTATGAATAAATAAATAAATAATATGAATATTTAGAAATAATTTTAAAATTATGAGAGTATTTTCTACTGCACCAAGACAATATTTTGATATTTTATATTTTTTAGCTTTTGAATTTATTTTTCGTAACTTTGTATACTTTTGATAATTTTTTGATAAACTATATCGAACGTAGGCACTAAGTACAGTATAGGTTAGGGTCATGTGTATTTAGTATACAGCTACATATACATGGGCAACATGTACTGTATATTATTTTAAATATTTCAATTAGGCCTATCTGCTAAAGAGTACTGTAACGGTAGATAACCTTAAATCATTATTGTACTGTATGGGTATTTGAAAACTTGTTAACTATTTCTTATCTCAAAGAAATGCACTATGTGTCGATAAACAAACAGGCTATAAACATGAAGTGGTCGAAATAAACTGTTAAAATTGTTTAATCAAAATATTTCTTCCTGGAAAATGTGTACCGCTACCGTCTTCCAAATATGGTTATACACATTTAGGCTTTCGTGTGACGTCAAGCAGTGTGTTGGGCGGAAAAAAATTGGGCGGAGCACTAAGCCGGTTAGAGTGCAAATTGGATCATGTTCTTCGTAAATAAGAAAGCTACAGTCGCTTCGCAAGCTCCGCTCCTTTTTAGCTGTCTTATTTACGAAGAACACCCAATATGCACTCTAGATAACCTATACATAGAGTCAACTTAACATTATATGGTGTGTAGGCCTATGTGTCCTTATATGATGTCAGTCTTTCATTATTATATGATGTGCAATTACGAATATATTATGTGGAACCATTCTTATATACAGTAGAGTCAAAACAACACTATATATTATGTAGAATTGTCTTTATATATAGAGTCAGCTTAACAATATATAGAGGATATTTGTTTGTTTCAGTGTAAGATCGAAAAATATTTTACCGAGTGAACACCAGATGCAATATTTTCCACGAGTGGCGTAGCCACGAGTGAAAATATAATAGCTGGGGTTCACGAGTGAAATATTATTTGATCTTACATGTAAAACAAACAAATTTTCTGTTTATTTCATGATTTTTCACGATTTTTACACCATTTTACTGATTTTTGCTCTTATCTTCATGACGTCATCAAATAATGACGTCACAATGTTGAAGCAAAATATAATTCCATGATTATTTTTAGATTTTAGATGTTTTTCAGCACAACGTTCGTTAATATTTACGAACAACAGTTATCACGTACATTTTTTATTATGATTGACTACATTTCCGCTGAAAAAAACATTCATTAATGATAATTATTTTATTTTTACGCCAAATATAGTTCGGCCACTGTGAAATTATATTTGGTAATCATTACTGTGAAATTATCAGAATATAATTAACCGTTATAATTCAGTAATCTACTGCAAAACATGTAATAAATGATACAATTTACTTTGAGTTTTCCCGCTGTCGCCACGAACGGTGCTTATAGTGAGATATAACCCGGTAAATTTAACCCCATCAGTATAATGACAGAAGCACACGATGTTTGCACTTCATATAAAGCAGCGGTCGTATAACAATGCAGCCTGTGTATGATTTTTTGTGGACAAGCATTTGTATATTAAAGGAAAATTTGTATTCTGCAGTGACTGAAATGTTTTTATTTTATATTAGCTCATTAATTAGCGCAGAAGCTGTGTGTTTTGTCATAATTGTCAGTACTCACCGGATTTATTTATCTTACAGGATTTGGATAGTTTGCTTTCCGAGCATTTTGGCACGACGCCCGTTTCGACACCCTGGGGATCGCAGGAGGAGGTTGATGTATCTACCCTGTGTTTAGACTCGGACGAAGATGATCCCGAGTTAGATGTTGATCAGCGGATCCAAGACTACATAGACACGCTTCCAGATGACACAACAGGGGCTTCTGTTACTAGTTAGTGACAGCGAGGGTGAAGCAGAAGTTGATTGTGATTTGCCCCAAAATGATGAAGACGTGAACAGAATTACCCTGTATCATAAGAATGGTTGTGGGTGCAAGAAAAACTGCATTAAACAGTTTACTATTTCTGACATTTTTGATCACATATTGAATATTAGGGAAATGGAAAAGCAAGATAAAGAACTGTATATAATGGCAACTGTAGTAAACAGCCCTCAGAATGAATTGACAAAGCGCGGGAAGAAACGTCAGAAAGGTCACCATGACTTTTCATTAGTGGGGAAACCAGTGTGTTGGACTGTGTTTATGTTAGCCTTTGATATCAAGCGGAGCGCTCTTCAAAATATCCTAACACATGTTGATCAGCATGGTGTGGTTCAAAGAATTCACGGCAAAAAAGGGGAAAAACCTGTCAAATCTTTAAAGTTTGAAAATATTAAACATGCGGTGACATATGTTTCCCAAACTGCTGAAGACATAGGTATACCACAACCGGCTGCACCTCGTGGATCAGACAACATACCACCAGTTTACTTACCAAGTGCTACTACAAAACTTGATATTCGCAAGAAATACGAAACATCATGCCTTGAATCGATCTGTACCAACAAAAAGGCCTGTTCATAATAAAACTTTCTGCAACATCTGGAAGCAATGTTTACCACACATCTCCACGCGACGACGTTTGTGCAACTTGTGAAAAATTAAGAAAAGTTGTGATGGATTCCAGAACCGAGGATGAAAAATTTCAGGGCACCGCAAATCTTAGAGAGCACATTGTCAACGCACAAAAAGAAAGAGAAGTCTACAACAAATGCATTGTATATGCTTAAGGTCTGTTTGAGACAGGGGACAGGCGACATTCTCATTTCACCTTTGATTTCAGCCAGAATTTATCGCTACCACACCATTCAGATGGGGCCAACTTATTTTATGACATTGCGCAAAGTGCAATTGTTTGGTGTACGCAATGGCGGAGCATCAACACAATACAACTTCCTTGTAGACGAGAATGATACTTAATTGGCCCTGATGGTACTCAAACTCACGGACCTAACGCTGTTATCAGTATGGTAGACTGGGTGATAGAAAGGGACCATGCGGAGGGACCAACAATTTCACTACATGCCGATAATTGCCCAGGTATGTTCGTCATAAATTGCCTTATAAATTTATTGAAATTATTTACTTAATTATTTATAGCAAATTGACGTTCACTCATTGCGTTATACGTTGAACGTGCATGCATGCACGTGTGCATAAATTGTAAAAAAAACACTGTTTTGCTACAAATTAGTCCAATACTTAAATGTACTTTGGTGTTTATATGAATAACTTTTAATAGCACTTTCTATCGGTTCGTACACATAATGTTAATTATATGATCAATGCCGTTCATAGTCAGTTATCAAAGAAATTTATACAAGTCAACCGATATTATATCACAAACTTTGTTCTTAAATTCAATTAGCATAAAATATTCTGAAACATAAATCTTCAACGTCTGCTGAAAATGTCGTCTGCTAAGTTAATCCACTTTGCTTCAAAGTTGTAAGAAGCATTGTCAGTGACAAGCGTCTTGGAACCTGATGAAATGGCCTATCATCTGATTCAAAAATATGTTTTTAAAGGCTGTTAAACATTTTCCTGCAGATGGCGCAGGGTTAATAATCATAATAAAAGTCGGTAACCTTATCACACGTATTCACACACTGATATTCAGAATATTACATAACAAATATTGATGATTTTAATGTGAATTTGCCAGATTTAATTACCACATCTAATTAAACTCTACATAGTACAGCAACTATTTTAATTTTTTATCCCCCGCCGAAAAGGCGGCGGGGGATATAGAAATAGTCTCCGTCCGTCCGTCCGTCCGACTTTCCGTCCGTCCGTCCTTCCGTATGACATTTTTATCCGGAGCATATCTCTAAAAGTATTTGAGTTATCAACTTGAAACTTCATAGGTGGATAGACCTCATTGAGGAGGAGTGCAGTGCACAAGAATAATAACTCTACCTTTCATAATTTTTGAGTTATTGCCCTTTGTTATTTTTCAATATTAATTTTTGTCCAGAGCATAACTCCAAAAGCCTATGAGATATCAACATGAAACTTCATAGGTGCATAGATCTCACTCAGGAGGTGTGCAGTGCACAAGAATGATAACTCTACCTTTCATAATTTTTGAATTATTGCCCTTTGTTATTTTTCATACTTATTTTTTCACCTGATTGGAGCATAACTCAAAAAGTGTTTGAGATATCAACATGAAATGTCATAGGTGGATAGATCTTATTGAGGAGGAATGTTGTGCGCAAGAATGATAACTCTTCCCTTACCAATTTTTGAGTTATTGCCCTTTGTTCTTTTTCATGCTATTTTGTCCAGAGCTTATCTCAAAAAGTATTTGAGGTATCAACTTGAAACTTCATAGGTGGATGGATCTCATTGAGGAAGAGTGCAGTGCACAAGAATGATAACTCTACCCTGCATAATTTTTGAGTTATTGCCCTTTGTTATTTTTCAAAATTAATTTTTGTCCAGAGCATAACTCAAAAAGCCTTTGAGATATCAAAATGAAACTTCATAGGTGCATAGATCTCACTCAGGAGGTGTGCAAGTCTACAAGAATGATAACTATACCTTTCATAATTTTTGAGTTATTGCCCTTTGTTATTTTTCATACTTAATTTTTCACCCGAGTGGAGCATAACTCAAAAGTGTTTGAGATGTCAACATGAAATGTCATAGGTGGATAGATTTTATTGAGGGGGAATGCTGTGCACAAGAATGATAACTCTTCCCTGTACATTTTTTGAGTTATTGCGCTTTGTTCTTTTTCATACTATTTTGTCCGGAGCTCATCTCAAAAAGTAATTGAGGTATCAACTTGAAACTTCATAGGTGGATGGATCTCATTGAGGAAGAGTGCAGTGCACAAGAATGATAACTCTACCCTGCATAATTGTTTAGTTATTGCCCTTTTTTTATTTTTCAAAATTAATTTTTGTCCAGAGCATAACTCAAAAGGCCTTTGAGATATCATTATGAAACATCATAGGTGCATAGATCTAACTCAGGAGGTGTGCAGTGCACAAGAATGATAACTTTACCTTTTATAATTTTTGAGTTATTGCCCTTTGTTATTTTTCATACTTAATTTTTCAATTCAATTTTTTTCTCAAAAAGTATTTGGGGGATCAACTTGAAACTTCATAGGTGGATAGATTTTACTGAGGAGGGATGCAGCACACAAGAATGATAACCTACCCTGCATTATTTTTTTGTTATTTTCAGCCATCAGTAATCACATAGGTTTCAAATCTGTAATCACTATAGCCATCAGTTTTCATTACCAAAAGACCTCTTAAAATGGAATTATTCTGCTCTACTACATATACATTCTTCCAATGAGCAAACACATTCGGCGGGGGATGGCCATGTTGACATGGCTCTTGTTACTGTATTTATTTCTATTTCAGGACAGAATAAAAACTACTATATGCTGGGATATTTAATGTGGCGTGTTCTGTCTGGACGTCAGGAGAAGATAGAGTATATGATGCAGATACCTGGTCACGCTCGCTGCCATGTTGATGCTGGCTTTGCCCGCATAAAACAACTTTACCGCAGGACAGACACGGATGCTCTTGGCCAACTTACGGAAGTTGTAAATCAATCATCATCTACAAGCCAGTGTATCTGGTACCCTACATGGACATGGCGAGAAAACGTACTTTAAACCGCTCCAAGGCATCAGGTAATTTAAGAGTAAAAATTACAGTTTTGCGTTTAAAAATTGTCAGCTTAAGTAAAGACATATTGTAAAATATACTTGAACATAACTATGAAGTGCATACATTACAGTCAAACTTATATATATAGATCACTCGGGTGGGTATGTGGTCTTTATTGACGGGTGGTCTTTATTTACAGGTTAAATACACTGCACTTCGAATGTGATAATTTGAAACAAAACATGTGTTCTTAGGGTCATGTCGTTCCTATTCAGAGGTAGTATCTAACATAGGTTTGACTATACATGTTAAGTATAACATTTTATCATCTTGATTTAGCAAATTTAATCCTTAAAGTGCTTCTATAGTTATCATTATAATACAAATTTTCATAATGACATTAACATGTATATTTTACCCCTTTCAGAAAGTATCAATATTTTCGTATGAGCCGAGATCATCCTGGAATGGTGGTGGTTAAAGAGAGCTGCAATTAAAGCCGAGGAGACGTTCTCCATCATGATATCCAACAACTTTCAGTTTGAACGGGGACACTTGCCATAAGTACAGCAACCAGGTGGAATGTCTGCTGCACGACGCAGATATCTTTATAGCACAGTTCGGCCATATGTGCGACCTATATGTCAAGATGAAACATGTCCAGGAGAGCCTTAGACAAGTTTTAATTAGAACACTCATGTTACCATGGCAACGGATAGAAAAGACATCTGACTCCTGTTATAATGATTTTTAGCTCACCTGAGCATGCTAAGGGTGAGCTTTTAGGATCGTTGATTGTCCGTCGTCCGTCGTCCGTTCACATTTAGTTGTTAACACTCTAGCGGTCGCATTTTTGCCTCGATCATCATCAAACTTGGTCAGGATGCTTATCTAGTTGATAGCTCGGATGAGTTCGAACATGGGTCATCTCGGATGAGAAACTAGGTCACAAGAGCTAAAAATAGAAAAACCTTGTTAACAGACTCTAGAGGTCACATTTTTGCCTCAATCATCATCAAACTTGGTCAGGATATTTGTCTAGGTGATAGCTCGGATGAGTTCGAACATGGGTCATCTCGGATGAAAAAGTAGGTCACCGGAGCTAAAAATAGAAAAACCTTGTTAACACTCTAGCGGCCACATTTTTGCATCAATCATCATCAAACTTGGTCAGGATGTTTGTCTAGGTGATAGCTCGGATGAGTTTGAACATGGGTCGTCTCGGATGAAAAAGTAGGTCACCAGAGCTAAAAATAGAAAAACCTTGTTAACATTCTAGCGGTCACATTTTTGCATCAATCATCATCAAACTTGATCAAGATGCTTGTCTAGGTGATAGCTTGGTTGAGTTCGAACATGGGTCATCTCGGATGAAAAACTAGGTCACAGGAGCTAAAAATAGAAAAACCTTGTTAACACTCTAGTGGTCACGATTTTGGCTCAATTGTCATCAAACTTGGTCAGGAAACTTGTCTAGTTCATTGCTGGGAATAAATCGAACATGGAACATCTCGGATGAAAAACTAGGTCACAGGAGCTAAAAATAGAAAAATCTTGTTAACACTCTAGTGGCTACTGTTGTGATCCAAATATTCTGTTAATTGGTCTGAAAGTTTGTTTTGATGTTCTAAGTCAAGATCGAACATGGGTCATCTTTGATGAAAAACTAGGTCACACCGCCCAAATATGGAAAAACCTTGTTAACATTCTAGTGGTCACATTTTCAACTCAATTATCATCAAACTTGGTCAGGATGCTTGTCTAGGTAATTGCTTGGATGAGTTCGAAATAGCATGTGAAACTAGGTCACCGGAGCTAAAAATAGAAAAATCTTGTTAACACTCTAGTTGCTACTGTTTTGATCCAAGTATCCTGGAAATTGGTCTGAAAGTTTGTTTTGATGATTTCTAGGTCAAGTTTGAATATGTGTCACCTGGGTAAAAAACTAGGTCGCACTGCTCAAATATGGATAATCCTTGTTAACACTGTAGTGGTCACATTTTTGACTCACCTGTCATGAGACTTGGTCAGAATGCTTGTCTAGGTAATTGTTTGGGTGAGTTTGATAAGTCAGGTGAGCGATCTAGGGCCATCATGGCCCTCTTGTTTATGTTATTATCAAATGGTTTCTGTTAACAAGTACACTGTATAATGAATATATTACAAACTACATACCTAGTTGTAGATCTACTTGTTTCAATTGCTTATTAATTAGTTTCATATGAGGTATATTGAAAGATTTATTTCTATGTATATGTTAGTGTTCATCCGTGCTGTTCTACAGAAATTAGAAACTTCGACGGGAGCGATAGCGACAGGAGAATGTTTCTAATTTCTGTAGAACAGCTAAGGATGAACACTAACATATTTAGTGTCAAGCTTTATTTGGCCGTTGATTACGTCACTACGCGGTACTACGAAGCACTATGAAAAATAGAAGGCGACTATCACTATGTACATTGAATAATGTCGTGTATATGGGATATAATATCAGTGGATTTTGTTAAAAATTGTTATATTACCCTTATATGTTATCAAAGTTACATATTCGAGCATCATAGCCCATCATACAGTTTCCCCTGAGAAAAAAACAAAAACGTGTTTAGCTTCCGTGACCAAAAGTTTAGGAACATTGCAAGGTATATCTTCCCTATAATGGTTCATTATGATTTTTTAGGCTTACAAGAAGATGGTGTAATGGTTGTTATTATTTTAAAATTGATATAAATATTGAAAATCGGTTTTCAAAAAACATTTTTTTAACTTCCGTTACTGTTAACTTTCGTGACATTTTTGGTAATTGTTATCCTACCTATGCTATGATGATGTTAAAAGATATTTGAAACACTCTAAAAGTATTGTTTAGATCAAAGCCAGCATACTTTGAAAAATGCAAAAAAGTTGCAATAATATTAATTCAAAATTAGCTTCTATCGTTAACTGGTGAGTGTTCATTAATATTCTGTACAATTTCACTCTAACAAAAGTTTTATTCGAAAAAGAAAGTTATCTATGTGAGAACTGTATTTCTGTGAATGGAGAAATGTAGCAATTTGAAATCTTTTGTACTTCCATGTACATGCGTGATGATGCTAATGTCGTAGGAAAATGTATCTGCACAGTAACGGAAGTTAAATTCCAAATTGATTAAATTCTTTGATTGCAAAAAGATAGAAAAGTGATTTTAACAATATATTTTTATACATAAGCATATGCAGTTATTACCAATCGTAATTTTTATTTACAATATCGTGGCCAAAACAATGTTGTTCTTAAAAATTCAAGCAAGGGTAACGGAAGTTAAAAATTATTTGGCGGTTTTGTCTTCCTTTGCAAATAACCTGCATTAAGACAGAATTATTTGACAGAAAGTAGCAGTCCATCCCACAATATAAAAAAACCAACTGCATGTGACATTAACCTAACAACGTTCATCTTGAGAGTTCTGCATAATTATGTAAAGTGTGTGGTTACGGAAGTTAATAGGATTCCGGTCTGTTTCAATAAACCAGTTTGATCCAATCATTGATACAGAATAATAATCATTGGATTGGCAAAACTAGAATTTTTTGTGGTGTTGTATGACAAATGTTATATATTTTACTTGAATTAAGCCAAAGTTATACAAAACATTATGCATTATAAATATATTGATTTTTGTTCTTATCCTTAGTTATGTGTTGGCCATATCTATAAAGCGATGGTCATTAAAGAGCTAAAAGAAGCATATATTTTACCAAATTGACTGCAATTATTAAAATAATCCACTTCTATATAATACAACAACAAATATGTATTAGATAATTAGTTTGTAACATTTTCTATTATATTTTCACCGAGTTTAACGTTATCATTTTATCGGAATCAAAATTGGACCCGCTTCATGAGCTCTAGGACCTTTATGGAAAACTGAACATGGCTTTAGTATGTAACGGAAAGACCTAGTATTAATATATTTGTTGTCTAATTGGTGTGTGCCCTTTACCAAAACTGATATTTCTTGACATTTGGTGACACGATTTGACAAGTGCAGCTCTACATGCTAAAAATATCTTTTATGACATTTTAAGTGAATAATAACTTTGATATCTGATAAAAATACATCTTATATATATATAAACTGTGAAATTTTACAGAGGTCATGGTCATACTGAATAATTAATGAAGTATTCTAGTTTTCTACATAAAGCCATCATTTTTTGACTGATGCAAGATACTTGGGAAGAAAGTAAAACATGTAAAATGAAAAGAATCCGTCTCTTCCTGTGGAATTTGAAGTGGTCAAGGTCACAAAGTAACATTGGTTTTCGAATTTTCCTTATAGAGTCCATTATGATCTCACATACCTGAACCAAAGATGATGGTATTTGCAATATTTATTCAAGTAAGCCATATATCGCCCAACTAGCCCTCTTGTTAATATACTGAATTTAGATATGACATAGATATATTACTGGCAAATATATTAATTCATGAATATTGTCAAAATGTTTCCCTTAATTTTCCATCTTTCAAAGCAAAATGCTTTAATTTATTAATTATTTCGGTTGATACAAATCAGGGAAACTGTACAGATACATTTAGATTATTAAAAAGTATGCTATGTTGGTCGGATGTCAGTTGATGCATTTGAAATCAAATTTATTAAACCAAACAAACATACATGAAAAATTGTTAACATCCGTTACCTAAGTAAAATACATATTACTGATACAATTTCTCAAGCAAATGCCAGTATTTGCTAAACAGTGAGTTCCAAATATTTAACACTTGAAGCAAATTTTTTGTTTACGAAACATTCTTTATTTGATTTTTTTTTTAAATTTCATAAACCTTTACATTGAAAAATAATATACCACTGTTACAAACATTACCCTGTTTCTGTGAAAGCACCTTTCCAGCTTGTATGCGTATGCTGTAGGACTTTGATGTTATTTTGTATTGTGCACACTCATGCTGCATACAATTTACTTAACTTGCCCGATATACATTAGAGGCAAGTTAT